AGGAGGCTTTTTCTGTTTGTGACCACACCGGTCAGTTGCTCCACCCCCCTTCTCTCTCTCTCTCATCACATTTATGTAGGTGTGTGTGCTTGTGCACCGTGACGTTTCTCTTCTACCATGTGGGTACCTGGAATCCAATTTTGGTTGTCTGGTTTAGCAGCAAGCACCCTTATCCTCTGAGCCATCTTGTCCCCCCGCCCCTCCCGTCAGCTTTTCTAAGCTTTGGTTCCCACAATAGGAGCCCACATACTCCAAAGTCAGCTCCAGTCGGCCTTGGGGCACACATCTGTGGGGTGGTGGCCCTTAGAGAATGGGGGTTCTGTCTGTCTGTGGGTCAGGGTTCCAGCCCCCTCAGCGCAACGTGCTAAGCAGGAAAAGGAGGCTTCAGGAGGCTCGGGCTCCTGCCTTGCCCAGCCAGGCTTCCGGAGGACTGGATCAGCATCACACTCGGCTCCTTGGGTGCCTGTCAAACACAGGAAAGCTTGAAGTCCCTTGAAACAGCTCCCAGAAAGGGCTCTAAGTGTTTGGACCCGGCCCTTCTCCAAAAGGCTTCCTAAACTGATCCCCCTAGCAGAGATCTATACTGCTTGTTAAAGGATACCATCCTCCTCCTCTGTGTGGCAAAGTCAAGGCCATCCTGAGCTGGAAGAGAGCATATCCAGCACTGGGTTACACCAGGCATGGTGGCACCTGCCTGCAATCCCAGCATGCAGAAGGTGAATAGCTCACAGAGGGAAGCAGGGAGAGTGTCCACGAGCTCTTGGGAGAGATGGTCTCCCTAGCAGCTCTCTCCCATGCTGCTGGGTGGAGAAGCCAGGACAAGAGGCCCCACTACTCCAATCTACCTGACTGAGCAGATATCATCAGCCATTGTCCTTTCCATCAGTTCAGAAGAGGCCACTGGACCTCAGCATGCCCATTTATAGAATGGGGCCATAAGGGCACCTCTTTCTGGGGCCAGTGAAGTCTTAGGTGTGACTGGCTTTGTGTGGGGCCCTGACACACACAGCACGCAGAATTGCTACTGTTTTGGTTTTTGCTAGGAAGATAGCATGGGCTCCAGGGTTGGTAACAGGCAGAGAGGAGGACAACTTAATATTTAAAGTGGGGAGGTGCTGGCTGTGCAGCTCAGTGGATAGAGTGCGTGTCCAATGTACACAAGGTCTGGGCTTTATCCATAGCACCAAATAAACCAGGCAAGGTGATACACACCTGGGGAGGGTAGAGACAGGATTAGGTCTTTCTTGCCTGCAGCAATGGGTTCCAAGGGACTTTTACATGGGTCTCAAAATAAATAAGCAGGGGCCAGCCGGTGGTGGTGCATGCTTTTACTACCAGCACTCATGAGGTAGAGGCAGGTGGATCTCTGAGTTCCAAGCCATCAAGTTCCAGGACAGCCAGGGCTACACAGAGAAACCCTGTCTCAAGGGAGGACTGTTGCTCTGTTTTCTGATGGGGATATGGAGGCCTGGGGAAGCGAGGTAACTCGATAGGGCAGGCCCATCATGGGGGAAGAAGCAGGCTTGTGAGAGAAGACTACAGAGTCATGGTGGGCTCTCCTTCCCAAGCAAGAGGTGCTGACCGGTACGACTGTGGCATGCCTGTCGGGAGGTAACCAACTCTTGTTTGTTTGGCTCTGAAGCTCAAACTTTTCAGGGTACTGTGGACCCAGTTGAAGGTCCATAGTTGGGGAGGTACTAGGGGTAAACTTCCCAGTTTTGCTTTGCTAAATGAACGTGTTATCAAACTGCCTCCTAAATATTTATATCTGTACTCGAAGACTAGTGCAGACGTAATCAAAGAAGCTTCTATCCACAGTGAACTGCAGTCAGTGCAGAGACTCACGACTGCAAGATGCTGAGAACAAGTGACGTTCACATTATGCCTTCCAAGGCTCAGGGACTCTTCCTTTCCACTGAGAGGGGGTGGAAAGAATGTAAGGACCAGATGATGGGGAGGAGGGTCTTAAAATACTAACTTTTGTTTTGTTTTGTTTTGTTTTGGTTTGGTTTTGGTTTTTCCTGGAACTCCCTATGTAGCCCAGGCTGGCTTCAAACTCACAGAGATCACCACTATGCCTGGCTTTTGAAATGCTGTTTCAGGGATATAATAAAGCCAGGGTGTTCATGGCTTCAAGGCCACTTCAAATACTTGTATAGGGTCAGTTTAACGCTGAGCCAGGCTGGGTAATGGTGATACACGCTTTAATCCCAGCACTCAGGAGACAAAGGCAGGCAGATCTCTGAGTCTGAGGCCAGCCTGGTCTACAGAGTGGGTTCAAGGACAGCTGGAGCTACATAGTGAAACCTTGTCTCAAAACACACACACACACACACACACACACACACACACACACACACAAAGACTGCACCTGAAACATTTAGTTAGATGTGGGAGGGGCTCAAGGAGCCAGGGAACTCTTGGTATGGAGGGCTGCTATGGGATAGGAAGTCAGCAGTGACTGAGCCACTGGGGAGTGGTGGCCCATTGCCTCTCTGACCATGCGACATGGATGGCCCTGGTTAAACCCAATGGGTCACAAAGTGAAATCAAAGACCTAAAAAGCAGAGATTAGAGAGCTGGCTTCATGGTTAAGAGCCCTGGTTGCTCTTCCAGAGGCCCAGCTTTGGTTCCCAGCACCCATGTGTTGGCTCACAACTGTCTCTAACCCCAGCCCAGGGCACCCAGTCGGTGCCTTCTCCTGACCTCTGTGGGCACTGCATGCGTGTGGTGCGCAGACATGCATGTAGGCGAACCCACAAATACACAGCCAATAAAAATAGAGAAAAGTTAAAAAAAAATACCTGGGTTGTTTGTTTAAAAAAAAAAGAGACATGAAAATGAGTGGGAGACGTTGTGGGAAGATGGGGAGATCGGGGTGTTGGAGGGAAGTAAGAGCGAGTGGGGGCATGAGTGTTACCAGAATGTACGTGTATAAAATTGTCAAAGAATAAATTAATCAAAAAGAAAAAAAAAAGAAAAGAAAAGAAAAAAGAAAATCAGACACACAGGGCTCTCCATCTAGCTCTGCACAAATTTAGGCAGTAGGCTCCGAAGCAGCCTGTATCCAAGTCTCTCCTCCCCCGGGGTCTCTGGAGCCCCGGTCTAGGGGGAGATGTGTTTGTGGAAGGACTTGATGTGTTTGCTTTGGGCAAATCTTTGCCTTTCTCAGCTGCTGTTCTAGTGAGATCTTCCAGGCCAGGCAGCGGGAGGGGGAGCCAGAGCTAGGGTCTGGCTGCCTGTGCTTATCTGCTCTGTCACCAGCTCCCCAGAGCCGGCACTCTGCCCATTCCAGGAGGAGAGCAGTTGGTCAAGGACCTAGGAACAGACCCCATAGGGAGAAATGGACTGATGGTTATTGTTCTCAAGACGGAGGAGCTCTCTGGTATGGATGGTCTGAGAGGCAGAAGGAGAGATGGTAGAGTCAAAAAAAAAAAAAGGTGGGGCAGCCTCTTCAGGTAGGTGGTGAGTGCCTGATCAAAGGCAAGGCAGGCCTGAGGCTGGTGCACAGAAGAGAACTGAGAACCAGTGGGGAGAACTTGCAGGTCTGTTTTTGATCTTATTTCTTAAAAATTTAAATCATGTGTAGGTATGTGTGTAGGAATGTGTCTGTGTGTGCCTATGAGAGCAGGTGCCCTCAGTGCCCAAAAGAGGGGACTAGATCCCCTGTAGCAGGTGTCACAGGCTGTTGTGAGGCACCTGGTGTTGTGCTGGGAACTAAAGTCAGGTCCTCTGCAGGGGAAGTGTGGGCCCTTAACCACGGAGCCCTCTCAGATCCCAGGTGAAGCTTTCCTCTGCAGTGCTGGCGGGGCTGGGGGGGGTGGGGTGGATGGTGGGCCCTGTGTGTGCTGTGGCCTTCCACCCCAAGCCTGGGGTTGTCTTCAGTGTTGAGAGCCCTCATACGCTGTGGCCACGAGGATAAAAGGTTGCATGCTCAGATACAGGCCCCAGGAGTCCTACAGAGGCAGGGCAAGTCCCCGCCCTGCCCTTCTTCCACCACCAAAGACTGCAGAACCACGTGTCTTTCTTTCTCTAGCAGATGCTTGGAAATGGCTGTTCACCCTCATTATATTATTGTTAGTACTTGACAGCATAGCCTAGAGTCAATAGGGCACTTCCAGATCAGGCTGTATTTAAGCTCTGTGGGTAGATTTGTGTCACCCACATGCAAGCCTGTGAGGAAGACTGCATTTTGCCTGTGTCCCCCTGGAGCAAAGCCCCCATGAAGCCAAGAGAGAGTCCCCCTTTAAGCTCTGGGACACTTCAGTCTCTGCCACCTAGCTCTGAAGCATCCCACCAGGGTTAAGGGTTCCGCACTGTCATGCAGTGTGAGGTCTTAGGGGAAGCCCAGGAAGGGCACTGGGACACGGGATGGGGGCAGGACCAAGGAGAGGCACGTGGCTCCAATCACAAGTTGGCTTCTGGGGACTACACAGCAGCAGAACCCGGAAAAGGTACAGGGAGGGAGTGTCCTCATTTATACCAGGGAAGCAGGTAGCTGGCAGCAAGAGGCATAGCTGGGTCATCTGCAAGCCTGGCAGCTGCAGAGCCCTCCTGCTGTCCTTCCCCTGCGTCCCCCTGTCTTAGTCGGGGTCTCTATTGCTGGGCTTAAACACCACAACAAAGAGAAGCTTGAGAGGAAAGGGTTTGTGTCAGCTTCTAGTCACAGATGACAGTCATCACTGAGGGACGTCAGGGCAGGAACTCAGGACAGGACACTGGAGGCAGAAACTGAGAAAGAAGCCACAGAAACGTGCCGCTTACAGGCTTGTCCTTCATGGCTTGTTCAGCCTGCCATCTTGTACCATCCAGGACCACCTGCCTGGCGAGGGCCCCACCCACGGTGAGCTGGGTGCTCTCCCACCAGTCATCAATCAAGGAAATGCTCCACAGACTCACCCACAGGCCAAGCCAAGGAAGGCATTTTCTCAATTAAGATTCCCAGATGACCATCGCTTGTGTCAAGTTGACATAAAAACTAGTCAGGACGCCCCTTCCATGTTCCATTCCTCCAAATATATATTTTTAAAAAAAATTGTAGCAGAATACTAAGAAATCGTTGTTTACAGAATACAAAGGCCTACCATGTGATGAGCGACTAGCCGGGGGATGTGGTCCTTGACTCTCTTCTCCCCTGGGGACAGGACAATGGCTGGCTCCTCTGCTGACCTCCAGGAGAAGGGCCAGGGTTACAGGTGACAGCGCACTGGGGTGGCTTTCTATAGAGGCGTTTGTTAGCACCGTTGCCTTGCCCTTCTGGCCGTCGTTAGAAGGGGCTGTCACAGCAGCGACACCTGATGACATCTAAGACACAGAAGTCACCAGTTGCCCCAGGTTTAGAACCTCCCTGGCTGGTTCGCTTACCCACAACCTGAAATCACATGCCCAGCACCTGCCATGGGCCACCACACCTGGATGGGCAGTGTCAGTCATCATTCAGCCCGGTGACGTGTACATACATGCATCTGTCTGTCTGTCTGTCTGTCTATGGTGTCAGACTGGCCTTGAATTCTTGGTAGCTGGCCTGAACTCCTTGTCCTTCCTTCTGTTTCCATTTCTAGAGCCTGTGGCTTTGAGCCCAGGTCCTGCACTATGGCCATCCTTGGACTCTTCATTTGCCTACTATCCTTTTTGAGACTCAGGGTCTGGGTTTGGAGGCTGGCCCATCACAGTACTCAAGTGACAGTAGCCTTAGGGCTGATTTTTGCCTACCGGAGGCTTTCCTGTTATTAGGAACCTTGGCTCGGGGCCTAGGCTCCTTCTGTATGCACCGTCCCTCTGTGCACAAGGTCAAGAGGGTTAGCACTTCTCTGTTCTTTCCTAAGCATGCTGCGGAATCCAAGCTTCAAGTTCCCTAAAGTCACTGGTGGCTCCATTTCCTTTTAAAGGCAAGCTGGAGAGTGCTGAAGTCATTACTTGTTTCCCATTGGTCAGACATGATCACATGATTATCCCTAGCTGCAAAGGTGGCTGGGACATGTAGTACTTGGCCTGGCCACCGGGCGCCTCATTGGAACTGGGGGTGGGGAGCTCTGTATTAGCAAAGGTGAAAGCGTAGAGAGGATACCGGGCAGAAGGCACTTGGGTTCAGATGACACAGCACAGGGCTCATAGGCTGAGGTCACTGGCTTTACAGCTGAGTCCTTCACGCTGATTTAGGGGACACAGTCCTCGGGTCTGAGCCTGGGATGACTCAGGCAGATTTGTAGGGGCATTATTCCATGCCTGTACCCCTTAGGTGACAAAAAGAGCACTTAGAGGCAGCAGTTATAGGCTGAGGCTCCGGACCCGATGCCACTTTCGGAGACACCCTCAAACCTCCAATCTCCTTCAGAGAGAAAATAAGACAAAGGTGTTAAAAGCCTCATAGCCCTGCATCTGACCTGGAGCCCAGACAGGTGTCTTTGCTGACTCCCTCCCTCCAGTCTGGGCCCACAGCCACTCCTGACCCACAGAGAACAGGCCAGGGGCAGGAAGGAAGGACAGAGCCTCCAGAGTCTCAACAGGGCTGGCTCGCTCAGCTGGGGAGTGGCTCTCTATTCCGTAGACACTAGGCTCAAGGTCAGCAGCAGAGGACCCCCACCAGATGGACCCTCACTTTTCACAGTGTGGGAGCCATGTCTCTGGTCACAAGTAGAATGGTAGTGGCCTCCATCACCGGAAGTATCAGTGAACAGTCCACCCAACTTCTCAAGGAGGCTGATGACAAGTTTTGTTTTCTTCTCTTATTTCTGCCTTGACCTTGACTTTCTGCCTTCTGTACACACCTTCCTGCCGGTGACACCCTTCCAGCCAGAAGTGTGCACATTAAACCTTCCCTGGTCCCCCTAGAAACCACCAGATTCCCACGGCCTTCTGCACCCCAGCATTTCCCTGGCAGCCATGTGTGAGTGGCATTCTGAATGACCATCTCTTCCTTCATTGCTGCAGACACCATGCCCAGGCCTGGGGCATAGCCTTCTGAGGATTCCTGGTAGGTGCTGGGAGAATGACTGAGAGGGTGGATGAGTGATTGGCAGGTGAATGGATAAACTTTGCTGTCAGTCTAGGAACGTGTGTTTAGGTAAAGCTTATGAACATGGATCCCACCTCTGTGGTTTGCTGGCTGGGTCACTGGCGCGACACTGTCTTCCTGGGCTTCTGCTTCCTCCCCAGGTTAAAAGCAGCTCATAAGAGACAATAAGATTTTAGGGTGTAGAGCGGACCCTGACACCCCACACCTGTGATACTGGCTTTCCTGGAGCCACACGGGGGCTAACTCTACCACCCAATGTCAAAATCCTCCGGCTTGGCTGCCTTAAGGGCAGGAATCACTGACAAGTTTTTCCTGGGCCAGTGAGACGGCTCTGTAGGTAAAAGTGCTTGCTGCCAAGACTGATGACCTGAGTTCTGTCCTTAGGACCCACATGGTAGAAGGTTGGAACCGACTCCTGCACGGTGTCCTCTGACCTGCACCTGTTGTGTACACATGCACACACACACACACACATACACACACACACCAAATAAATAAGTAAATAAATGAAATTTAAATTTCCATCCATTCATTGATTCACACACTCATTCATTCATGCCCAGGATGAGTCATCAAATATTCTCTGCATATTCTTGGTGCCAGCCCCAGCTGGATACAGATGGAGGCAGAAGCAGCGTCCTGGACAAAGCAGAAGCCACCATGGCCAACCTCTGTGTAGAGGGAAATGGCGGAGACCCTCTGCAGCCAGAGACGGGTGGCTCCTCTGGCCTCCTGTCCGTGGAAGGGGCCCTGCCCCACCCTGCTGTGACCCGGCAGCCAGGCTCCACCCCTGCTGTGTCTCCCTCTATCCTCTCACCAGCAGGGCTTGGTACTCTCTGAACCGTTGGAGACTCTGGCTGTGGGGTGACTCTTACCGACAGGGTCTGGGGCAAACTTGACTTCTCCTGGGATGTGAGAGGGGTATGGATGCTGATGAGCTTGGCAGAAGGTTCTCCATGAAAGAGCATGAAGAAGGGGTTCAGCTGCCTAGCAGACCAGGCAGCAGAGTAATCAACACTGGACCATTCTGTGTGGGGTGTGTGTGTGTGTGTGTGTGTGTGGTGTGTGTGGTGTGTGTGGTGTGTGTAGTGTGTGGGGGTGTGTGTGGAGGTGTGTGTGTGCTGTGTGTGCTGTGTGTGCGGTGTGTGTGGTGTGTG